GCGCTATTATTTCGGTTATTTTAAGTTTTATTCGGGCTTGACGCTTTAAGGGAAGTGTTTTCACAGTCCGTGCATGTGCCAAGAAAAGTGAATCAATGGCCTCGTTCTCTTTTTTAGGTTTTTTACCTTCAAAATAATTAATGAGCTGTTGTACAGACGAAGATGGTGGTTCATAGCGTTTTCTGCTCGATTTATATTTTGGTGTAGTTGCAGTCTGCAGAAAGGTGTGCCCTGGAGTAGTCACTGCTGTAGTGTTCAATGAAGAAGGTGGTGCTGTGTGTGTTGCCGAGGCGTTCTGTGCATCTTCTGCATCTACATCAGCATTTTCATCTTCTTCATGGCCGCGGTCTTCAAAATTTTCTGTTTCTATATTTCCAGCCCTTTCCTGATATATATTTGAGTTAAATTCGGCAGTCTCATAATGTATGACGTCAATATCTTTCACATTAGACGACGTTTTGGCAAATGCCAAAAAAGGACGGAAAAATTCCATGTAGTCAGCCCACTGCCATTTCTTTATGTTGCCCACTGCTTGGCCGGTCTTTGGTTTGGTAGATTTTATATATTTTGCAAATGTGTCTCTGATATTCTTCCACCTTTTTTTTACTTCATCACCTAAAAACGATTTTTTTTATAGATTCCTTGCCACTGGTGACAGCTTCTATACCATTGGGCATAGCTTTCGAGTTGGCTTTACAACAGTGAGTGCAATCGTAACCGAAGTCTGTGAAGCGATATGCAGACATATGGAACATACATATTTACCAGAACCAACAGAGAATATATGGAAAAAATGTGCTGAAGAATTTGAAAATAGATGGGGATTTCCCAATTGCATTGGCAGCGTGGACGGTAAACATGTAACAATCAAGAGACCTAACAACAGTGGCTCCAATTACTGGTGCTATTTACATAAATATTCAACAGTACTTATGGCCATTGTTGGCCCGGACTATAAATTTATATGTGTTGATATTGGTGGTTTCGGAAATAATAGTGATGGGGGTATTTTCGAAACCTCAAACATGGGAAAACGATTTGAACAAAATTTAATGAGTGTCCCTGCACCTAGATTTCTCCCTGGGCAAAATGAAATCTGTTCGTACGTCTTAATTGGTGATGAAGCATTTCCTTTAAAACCATACCTTATGAGACCATTTCCTTATAAGCAGACTTTAACAGACGTCAGAAAAGAGAAATACAATGTAAGACTTTGTCGAGCTAGAAGGGTCGTGGAAAATGCGTTTGGTATTTTGTCTCAAAAATGGCGAATATTTTACAGGCCATTAGAAACTAAAGTAGATACTACTATTCTAATTGTACGTACGGTATGTGTTTTATACAATTTTTTATGAAGTAAAAGTGGCGATGACAAATATTTTCAATTCTTAGATCCCCCAGAACCCGTGCTTGGAGCTTTTACTGATATAGCAAATGATCCTCGGCGGGCAGCAAGGCTAGCATTTTCTACTCGTGACAAATTCGTAAATTATTTTAATTCTGATATGCCTATGCCCAATATATAGAATGTTCGCTTTCACATTTGTGTAGACTGTAGATTATTTAACAAGTTAATAAAAAATATTAGGTACATACCATTTGTATTTAATTCTTTTCCTATTTCCATCCAAATCTTGTCTTTCTTTCTCACATTCCTGTATTCATCGTTCGACAAATCATACAAACAAGGATACTTTTTCACTATTTCTATCAATAATTCCGTTTCTGCCATTGCGAATTTTTGAAGAACGGCGTCAAAAACGCGGTCAAAGGCGAACTGAAATACGCCGCGATAACAACGCTGGAATAATCGCATTCGCTTCGCACAAGTCTGAGCCTGTCCGTAAACCGCCGCGTTTTAATCTGATCGCGAATTCATCGCCGCGAACTTTTCGCAGCCAAAGCGAATATTTCGCGCCGGTTTGTGGGATGCTTAAAACGCGGCGGTTTACGGACAGGCTCAGACTTGTGCGAAGCGAATGCGATTGTTCAAGCGTTTTTATCGCGGCGTATTTCAGTTCGCCTTTGACCGCGTTTTTGACGCCGTTCTTCAAAAATTCGCAATGGCAAAAACGGAATTATTGATAGAAATAGTGAAAAAGTATCCTTGTTTGTATGATTTGTCGAACGATGAATACAGGAATGTGAGAAATAAAGACAAGATTTGGATGGAAATAGGAAAAGAATTAAATACAAATGGTATGTACCTAATATTTTTTATTAACTTGTTAAATAATTTACAGTCTACACAAATGTGAAAACGAACATTCTATATATTGGGCATAGGCATATCAGAATTAAAATAATTTACGAATTTGTCACGAGTAGAAAATGCTAGCCTTGCTGCCCGCCCAGGATCATTTGCTATATCAGTAAAAGCTCCAAGCACGGGCTCTGGGGGATCTAAGAATTGAAAATATTTGTCATCGCCACTTTTACTTCGTAAAAAATTGTGTAAAACACATGCCGTACGTACAATTAGAATAGTAGTATCTACTTTAGTTTCTAATGGCCTGTAAAATATTCGCCATTTTTGAGACAAAATACCAAACGCATTTTCCACGACCCTTCTAGCTCGACAAAGTCTTACATTGTATTTCTCTTTTCTGACGTCTGTTAAAGTCTGCTTATAAGGAAATGGTCTCATAAGGTATGGTTTTAAAGCAAATGCTTCATCACCAATTAAGACATACGAGCAGATTTCATTTTGCCCAGGGAGAAATCTAGGTGCAGAGACACTCATTAAATTTTGTTCAAATCTTTTTCCCATGTTTGAGGTTTCGAAAATACCCCCATTACTATTTTTTCCGAAACCACCAATATCAACACATATAAATTTATAGTCCGGGCCAACAATGGCCATAAGTACTATTGAATATTTATGTAAATAGCACCAGTAATTGGAGCCACTGTTGTTAGGTCTCTTGACTGTTACATGTTAACCGTCCACGCTGCCAATGCAATTGGGAAATCCCCATCTATTTTCAAATTCTTCAGCACATTTTTTCCATATATTCTCTGTTGGTTCTGGTAAATATATATGCTCCATATGTCTGCATATCGCTTCACAGACTTCGGTTACGATTGCACTCACTGTTGTAAAGCCAACTCGAAAGCTATGCCCAATGGTATAGAAGGTGTCACCAGTGGCAAGGAATCTATAAAAAAAATCGTTTTTAGGTGATGAAGTAAAAAAAGGTGGAAGAATATCAGAGACACATTTGCAAAATATATAAAATCTACCAAACCAAAGACCGGCCAAGCAGTGGGCAACATAAAAAAATGGCAGTGGGCTGACTACATGGAATTTTTCCGTCCTTTTTTGGCATTTGCCAAAACGTCGTCTAATGTGAAAGATATTGACGTCATACATTATGAGACAGCCGAATTTAACTCAAATATATATCAGGAAAGGGCTGGAAATGTAGAAACCGAAAATTTGGAAGACCGCGGCCATGGAGAAGATGAAAATGCTGATGTAGATGCAGAAGATGCACAGAACGCCTCGGCAACACAGACAGCACCACCTTCTTCATTGAACACTACAGCAGTGACTACTCCAGCGCACACCTTTCCGCAGACTGCAACTACACCAAAATATAAAACGAGCAGAAAACGCTATGAACCACCATCTTTGTCTGTACAACAGCTCATTAATTATTTTGAAGGTAAAAAACCTAAAAAAGAGAACGAGGCCATTGATTCACTTTTCTTGGCACATGCAAAGACTGTGAAAACACTTCCCTTAAAGCGTCAAGCCCGAATAAAACTAAAAATAGCCGAATTAATAGCGCACGAAGAATTTGAACATATTGAAGAAATGTCTTCAGCGACTGCCCAGAATTCTGCAAGTATGTATGATAGTAGTATGTCGTCCTTCCCAAGCGGCACTGGGTTTACTCCAATAATATACCCAACAGAGGAGGCAAATTCTGCCTCGAATTATTTAGCAACATTTAATCCTAGTGGAAACATGTAGTCCAATTATTACATTAAAATATTTATTTCACGATCCCTGAAGTTTTCGTATTCGATAAGCCTACTAATTTTAATACATATAATTTTTTTACCTGAGTGTAATAGCAAGTCGTTCTTCTGGCTAAATAGCTTCACGATAATTTGTGTCAGATTTTCGTATTTCATCTTTCACCAAGTTCAATATTTCATCGAAACACCCTGGAGTCATTCTAAAATATACGTAAAAGAGCTGTTCATCCAGCCGAAGTTGTGTCATCAAGGTATGGTATTCCCCAAATTTATTTCGTTCCAAGTTAATATCATGTACCCACTTCCTTCGTTTCCTAAACAAAATTGAAAATATTTGTTTTATGTACTTCGTTAAACTTAATACATACCCAACAATCAAATGGCGTTAAATAAACATAACTTACCGTGCATTTTGTTCCTCTTCTAAAGCAAGAAATAGAAGTGCCTCCTCTTCTTCTGAAGACGAGCTCATTGCAAAAGGCAAAAATAAAATGTACGCAACCAGTCGAAACCTTCACGTTCGCGGACGAATAAGACGCTTTGGTATGAATTAATAGGCGAAACAGATTGCGAATTTCTCTCTGAATTTCGTTGCGAATACTTCGCCGCGATTATTTCGCGTCGGTTTGTGGGATGCTTAAAAGATATTTGTGTCGTACCAATTTTTTGTGAAATATTTTTTACAAGGCACGTTTGCAGAGACGCCGCTGTGGCGATTTAAATAACTCTTGATTTTAAAATATGCCATTTTACTATACATGATATGCTAAAATTAAAATTAATGGTTGAAGTACCTTTAAAGATAGAAAATAAAACGATTTCTTTCTTAAAATTACATCACTTATTGCGGACGTATATTTTTGTCAACTTCTCTTCATAAAATTATCCTGAAACATTAGCACCTCACTAAGGAACATCCTGGAAAGGATTTGCCAATTTTTTTAATTTCTTTTTTGTCTGTTTCAATTAGGATTAAAAGTACTATACCATGCTGTAGCTCAGAGTATCCTTACCAAGTACTCCTTTTGACTCTTAGGCTGGAATGCTGCTGATTCCAGTTGACATATCATAGCATAGACGTCTTCACTGTTCAAGAAAATGCAAACAACCATCATCCAGTTAGTCACGGTGCTTGTATAGATGAACATTACTGAATTGAAGTCAGCTACTGTGAGAGTTTCTCGCTTATCTAATAGATACATCAAGCCAAACGTTATATAGAAGATCATCAATACGACAATTACACCTGGATAAGCAAGATAATAGTCCTTTGGTACATCGCAATCGGTAGAAGATCTAAGAAAAGAGTTGTGAAGGTTCAAAGTAATTATGATGTAAGAGATCGCTAACAATGAAGGTTGATATACGAGTACTAAAGTTGATTGAATGACCGAAGAACAGATTTTCAGTTTCAAGTTTCTGCATATCTTGTTCGTCCAAAGCTCTTTATGTGCAGATGACTTCCTGATTTTGAGTATTGTCGAAATGTTGGTATAATATACGTTGTGCATTAAATAAAACTAACTCTATAGCTTTCTATGTTAACCCTAGGATGTTGCTAGGAAAATTCAGTTTGCAGATTGAGCACGTTGAAATATGAACGAGCATCATATGCTTTCAAACATACCTCGTACTTAGTTCACCTTACGTCCCTCGAAAGCATATCGAGCTATTGAGGTTAGTTTAGATTATCAAGAGTCACATTAACATTCAAAGAATTTGTATTTGAAGCACTTTTATCAGTGGTTTTCGTGTCAGTAATTGCTTATCAAAAAAAGAGTCCGTTAGCGGTAAAAAAATAGGACCAGCAAAGGCCTCTTAATTTTTTCGACATTCTCGCAAATAAAGTTTATCTTATTAACCAGTTTGTCAATATGTTTATCGTTATTAAAATATAGTAATCAATCACTTTTACGAACATAACAAACATGGATTTGAGCAAATGGCATTTTTGCACGTAGAATTTGGTGGTGAATTTGCCCTTGAATTTTCATGATAACAATCTGTGACACCATATATACAATTGAAATCTAAGATTTCGGATCACAATTCGTGTGGTAAAAATATTTTATAAGACTGATGGTCTAAATGTACTTCTATAGTTACCTCTGTAGACCGTATAGCAGTATCGGTTGAAAAAAGATTGTGGATCTTTCGAAGTATCCCAGAAGCCTACAATCTTCAAGGAAAATATATCTACCTTCAGCAGGGATACCAGATCAACCTTCATTTTCTATAGATGTATTGTAAAATGCACGAACAATCTACATTTATTCAGTTCTTTCAGTTTATGTATTCATGGATACCTTACATAGAATACAGGGTAGAACTCTTCTCACATATGAGCATATTATTTGCTAAACGTGAGTCTCGTGTCTATATTTACACGATTCAGATAAAATAGCATTAATCAAAATGTTGCAATATTAATTCTAGCCATTTGCATCTCTCATCTACAAACAGCTCATAACATCCAAGGAAATATAAGTATAATGTTTCAAAATTTTTACGGATTTTTATCAAACGTAACTAAAAATCCGCATGCAAATTGTTTCATTCATTGGTGTGCTACGATGCCACAGATAGATAAACAGATACAACCCCTAACTCTCGCGCCAGAGGTTAAAAAAGGGTTAGGTCTAAAAATACTATATTACTTTTGACGGAGGATAATAATATCCACCGTCGCGTCGTTTTGTCGATGTTTCTTGAAGTGCATTTTTCCAGCTTCGTATTTTGTTGAAAAAAATGTGGAGTTTTCTTAAATTTTCGAGCAGCCTTGGATATAAATATAAACACTTGACACAATTCGACTTATAAGTCGTGTGCAACAATGTAAACGAATCGCGCGACAGTCGAAGATAAAGTTTCACGTAAGTCAACGTGCTCACAGCCAATACGGCTAGCAGCAATAAAATCTGGCTGTACGTGAACGGTATTCAGTGTTCATACAAATAGCCGAATTCACAAAAAATACGGCTTCCTTAGTCTCCCAAATAAAGCTACTTTACAGTTATCTCGCTTATGAATCTCCATATTTCACTGACCGCCAAATAAAAACACAAATATAGAGTACAAAATTTCTGACGTTTAGGCCATCACGGTGGTCTTTTTCCAAATATAAATCAAAAGTGACAAAGACAATACAGTTTATTTATTCAGGTGACGGTTCATTATTTTGTCGCAAGACCGCCTGGAATTAACACTCCCAAAAGACTTCCAGGTTAAGGCCTGAATAACACCTATGTCGAAAACTCCTCATCTCTACCTAAAATCAGATCTCACGGCTTCAGTGCTCCGGAACATGTACATCAAAATGTTACTTTTAAAAACACAAATAGTAGCCTAACACCAAATAACCAAATGAACGATTCCTTATAAACTTTGGTTTTTGCATTTTTACCCAGATAAGACTTATTTTCAGTCCGATTATCTGTATCCTAAACGGCAATTATTTTTTTAGAAAATATCCTGTTAGGGTTATCTTTTTTTTTTTTGATGCGCTGGACATGCTGGACATCGCATCGTATTTGTCATGCAAGAAAATAATGATGGACCAACACCAGTTCGAAAGGGTCAGTTTTTCATGCATTCCTGTAATTATTTTTTTTGCGATCTTAGTTTACTTGAATGTCGAAAACTCTTCATCTCTACCAAAAATCAAATCTCACGGCCTCAATGTTGCCGAAACTGTAAATCAAGATGCAGCTTTTTCTGAACATTTTTTGATATGGATGGTAGTTTAGACGGCAGAAAGCATAAGTTAAACAATAGTCAGACGCCGTACAGGAGCAAAAACAAAAATAATAACATATCACCAAATAACCAACTGAACAATTTCTTATAAATTTTGTTTTTTTTTTGCATTTATATCCAGATATGACTTATTCTCGGAAGAAGTATTGAGAGAAAACTTAGATTCCAGTCGATGTGGAGAACATCAATAATGTTCCCCTTGGGGATAAACGGTTAAATGCTGTTCAATTTCGATAAGGTAGATTTCCCAGACAATCCTGTAATTATTTTTTTTCAACTAACATGTCTTACTAGGAAGACTTTACCTTAATAGAACTTCATCCCTACCAAAAATCTGATTTCACGACCCAAATGCTCCTGGAACGGTAAATCAAAATGCTGCTTTTTCTGAACATTTTTCAATAAGGTCATAGTTTAGACGGCAGAAAGCGACAGTTAAACAATAGTCAGATGCCTTATAGGAGCAAAGTCACAAATAGTAGCATACGAGGGGCACGTTGTATATTTTGAGATGCGCATTAACTATACTAGTTAAAACCGGCAACAGTGCGCTATTAGAAAGAGCAGTCCTTTATTGGTAAGTATCCGAATTCAGTTCCTTTGCAAGCGTCTTACAGTGCACGTGGTGTAAATAAATTTAAGATGAAATATGGAGTTGTCTGGAGAGAGTTATCGCGCTATGATTTACCATGAGCTTAAGGTCGGTTTAACTGAACATCAATTAATCGAACGGGTACAACAAGCATTTGGTAATGAAGCTCTGTCCCGGGCAAGTGTGTTTCGCTGGTAAGAGGGTGTGTTTCAACGTAGTGGTAGGCCATGTTCTAGTCTGACTCCAGAAAACATTGCTAAAGTTAAGCGGCTAATTGAAGAAGATTCTCGCTGCACATATGCGACTATAGAGTAGGCAACTCTTGGGGTAGGATCCGCAACAGTGCACACCAATTTGCATGACCATCTTCATTCAAAAAAAGTTGTTGGGGAGGTACAATCCTGCATCACGACAATGCATCTAGCCACACTGCCCAACTAACTGTAGACTTTTTACGCCTGCGCCATATCGAAATGTTAGAACATCCGCCTTATTCTCCAGATTTAGCAATGTGTGAATTCTGGCTCTTCAAGAATTTTGAAATCAAAATCTGCGTGGTCGAAAATGTTCGTCCTAAGAGGAAATTGATGGTTAGAAACATTTCATTTGTGGAAGGTCAGGTTACAGCAGTGCATTGATGCTGGAGGAAAATACTTTAAAGATAAATAAACTAGTTTTAGAAAAATAGCTTTAGTTTTCGTGTATCTCAAAATATATATAGCGTCGTCCTCGTATCACCAAGTAACCAACAGAAAAGTTTCTTATTGATAAACGTTTTTTGCGTGTATACCCATATACAACTTATTTTCAGTCTGTAACCTACTTGGCAATTCTTTTTTGGTATGATATCCCTGTAGGAATCTTGGGGGATATGTATAATGTAGTATTCATCTTTGTCCTGGAAACATAATTCAACCCAATTTAAACTTTGAATAGAATTTGACGCACAATACCTTCATGGATGGGACTGCAATTACGGTGATACCATAACGTGTTATTTGGTCAGAAACTCAAAGGAAAAACTACATCCAGACACATATTATTATAAGAATGATATACTGAGATTATGGCATATGGATATGGGAGTTTCACGCCACGTAAGTGTTAAGTCAATGTCAACAAAACTCACTTTTTCGTTACAAGAACGCAAAGAGACCTCTTGCAAAACTTTTGGTCACAAAATATCTGTGCCAAGAATAAGCATTGTTTTTTAGTAAAAAAACAAAATATCTGCACAATTGATTCAAAAATTGAAAACGGCTAATGAAGTAGCCCAATGCTCAGGAATGTTCTCCAATTCGAATCATCGTCCGCTAGATGGTTGTAGCCTTCTTGATATTCAGGCAGCGAAGAAATATTGCTGGTGTGGTATAACTGAGTTCGCTTTGGCTTGAGCAAAAGCAACTAGATATGGCGAATTTTTGTATGACATGACGATAAATGTATGGACCATCATAAATGGTATGTGAGGGCACATTCTTAAAATATCCACAGTTATGTCCCAATTTTGACCCACATATAAAAGATGTTTTTTTTTTAAATGAAGTGTCCTTCTTTTCATTAGATATTTAAATAGGTCCTTTTAATATAAGAAGATTGATGCAACATACTTGAGCATTCATTGCTGAGATATTGTGAATTTTATATAAAAAACACCAAAGTCTGACAGCTCCTATGTCTACTATATTGACAGATGAAGTAGCTTTGACTAAATTTTTTTAATTACACCCTATTTCAACCTAATTCTACCAAGTACAGGGTGGTCAAAAACACAAAACATACTTATCTTCAAAAAAGTTAAATGTTACACCAGGTGTGTTTTCACATTTAGGATTCCACTTCTTACAAGTTTTTCCCTGGTATTAAACTTTATGGTGTTTATTTATTTATTTACGTATTATTTATTACAAATTCAGGGTGTTAATAGCCGGAGCCAACACACACCCACTAGATTAAATTTCGAATGAACATATGCATATTTAAATTATTATAAATATAGTAACCTCAAACATCCATTGTTATATAGTTAAAATAATAAAAAATACTATAGGTATGAAGTTTTTTAAATATTGAAATCGTTCGTAAATTGCACACTATTAGTTAGTATTTACATAATTTAACATTTTGTAGTTTCAGTTTTATATATAATTATGTATGGTTATTAGCCGCACAGTACAAACATGAACTTTTCAATTTCGTCTGTTTTTTTACTAATCTAAGCCTCTTCATATACTACATTATATGATTCATCTGCTAAGAATTAAATTATTTTTTGAATACTGTTTCATGTGGCATTTATATAACTGATGGGCCTGTTCGAAACCGTATCTCAAGCTTGTGTTTATGGCATTTTTT